CCATTTTTCTTAAAACTCGTGCCACCCTTCGAGACATTTAAAAGTGGACGGAGGGAGTATACTCCATACTCGAAATATATTAGATAGAAGAAATACTATAATTGCGTACGTATTATGATGATTTGACTTGTTCACTATTATTATTAACGAATTCATAGGAAGTTACTCATAAAAATGATATAATTGTGGCGTGATATATATAACGTATCTTTTTTTGTATGAAAGGATGAATTACTATGGGCAGCTGCATGGCTATATAAGGCGAGTGGAGATCAGAATTACCTGAAATATGTGACCAATAATCAGGGATGGAGCAAATCTGTTTCAGAGTTTAGTTGGGACAACAAGTTTGCTGGAGCTCAGACGTTATTAGCCAATGTACATACGCTAATTAATTAATTCTACACAACCACGTATCACACTTAATTGCTCATTAATTATGTTAATTTGGTTTAATAATTTAATTTACTATTTTCTTAGTAACATATTTCTTTGATACTATGTGTATTTATCGCCAGGAGTACTTTGCTGGAAATAAAAACTTGGAAAAGTATAAAAACGACGCCGAGTCATTCATTTGTGCTTTGATGCCTGGAAGTGGTTCTGTGCAATTTAAAACAACTCCGGGTAATTATCATAAATTTTATTTTTTTTGCTTAAGATTTACTATCTCTTAATTCAATAAATTTGATCTAAGATGTTTTTCATTGGACTATTATAGTCTCGGATCATACTAGATCGATTTGTCACATCATACTAGAACTCGATAGTTATAAAAACACATAGAATAAACATTTACCTAACAAAACCAATTCAAACAATACTAGACATAAATAGATGATACTAGTTCAGATTAGACTAAATTAGACCAGGACATGTCAGAAAATTTATATCCATATGAAAGCATCTTAACTCCCAATCCTCGAGAATTCAGATATAATATGATACACTTATTGTTTAATTTTATAACCTTTTAAGTAAACAGAAATGTTACATACTGTAGTAATTACTCCGTATTAAGGATTTTTGTTGTGTTGAATTGTACGAAGTACATGTTTTTATACTTTCCCGGCCCGAGGCTTATAGAGGTGAAATTCTCTGGTCCAGCGGCTCCAGCCCATAGCCCAAAATTCGTAACATAAGCACACACAGCACTGTCAGCCCACGTACATTCCGGGCCAAGAATTAAATTGGGGAGCTCTATTGAAAATAATTACATGGCCTACATATCATCAACTTTTACATTTTTATTATTATAACCATTATTATAAGTGTTTAATCAAAGCCATTTTCATACATATTAAGAATTGAAATTTCATTTTAAGAGGTTGATCGATATAATAGGCTTGGCTAATTTGGCAAAAAATACTAAAACGATGTACAAATATTATCTGAAGTACCACTCTAATTTTATGTCAAATAAAGCAAAATGTAAGCAATTGTAGACTAAAACAATTTGTTTATTAAAATTTTGGTCCTATCTAAGTATATCAAATTGGGTACATTCTTTGTATAAGTTTAAATGTGATATTTATTTAATAGATGATGAAACATGGGTTACGTTAATATTTCGCCACTAATTAAATATAGATGTCACATGTGAGTATGTATGTATATCCAACAAATGTAGTCCTAGACTTACTCTGATCTACCATTACTTCCTTTTATTAAAAGTTCAAAGTTAACATTGAGGCCATTCAAATGAAGAAAGTAGGAATTTGTTTTTTTAATGGGAGTAGTAATTTAAAAATGGCTGAATGTCATATATTTATGATTATAATAATACCTTAAAGTAGAACTGGGCGCGGAGTATATATAACTAAAAATCAGCTTCTATATATTACGGAGTATAAAACTATGGATTGCGAAAAATAACATAGGCATACATTGCGCGAAGTATTTGTCTCACCTTGAAATGACATACTATGTAAAATAATAAAAGTTGGCTATATAAGATCTTTGGCTACTCTTGTCATCAAGTTGAACTTTTAGGATGAAACCACTTAACATAGTATGAGAGTCAGTGGGATTGATTGTCATTTATCGTCCATGATTAAGGGTAGCTCATTAAGAATTTGTTTGACCTATTTTGATTTATTATTTATTTATTTTGGGAAAATATTTGACCTACTTATATAATCTAATATTGTTCAACCCGATTTGGGCTCAGGGACAGGTTGAAGTATTTATTTCACCCCAAAACAATATAAGTTACATAAGACCTTTGATTACTCTTGCAAAATGACACTATGCACTTGACTTTATATCTCGAGTGTGACTACATATATTTTCTAAGGCACCTTCTACGATACCTCCAAAACATTTTAACTTAGCTTAGCTTTTTCATAAATATAATTAGAATATTGTAATTAGGTAATTTAAACATAAATAATTAATGACAAGATATGATGTTATACTTGGACTCTTTTCGGTCCCAGAAAAGATCATAATAACGTAGATGAATCATATGCATGTAAATGTATATTGTTATTATTGTACCACTCTCCATTTTGTAAAAGTTGCTATAAGATATTTTGCTAATTTTTCAGGTGGTCTTCTTTTCATAAGAGATAGCAGCAATTTGCAGTATGCAACAAGTGCGACGATGGTACTATCCATGTACTCGGGGATCCTTGATCGATCCGGCGGAGGAGGAGTTAAATGTGCTTCTGCCACTTTCACTTCCTCACAAATCAAAGCATTCGCAAAGTCACAGGTATCTATATATAAACTCACCAATTAAATTCTACAATGTAACGTAATTCTATATATTACCTGAAAATAAGTGATTACAAATCTGATACTCCCTTCATAACAATTACTCCCTCGTCCCTTTTTATTTAGCCAAACATCTTTTTTCAAGTTAAAGTTGTTCAACTTTGACCGATTATATATTTATATACACGGTAATATTGATAATATGAAAATTATATGAAAATGATCTTTGTTAAAAATATTATCATAAAAGTATAAATTTACTAAGTTTCATATAAATATATTAGTTAGAATAATGGATCAAAGTTTATTACCTTTGACTGGAAAGGTCAAAGATGGCTAAATAAAAAGGAACGGAGGTAGTACTACGTAGTAGTATATATTCTCATGTATGTGGGAAGTTGGTGAGATTATAAATAGTAGTTAAATGGGATTTTGCCCTCAAATAATGTAATAATGTGTTGGAATGAAAGTAAATTAAAAAAAAAATGTAATAATGTATCATTTTCAAAATTATTAATGGTATGATGTGAAAGTTTAGAAATGAAAAGAGTATATAGGTACTACAAAATAAAGAAAGTGTGAAGATCTTTTTTATACGAAGATACTCCTTAGTAATTTAATTTACAAAGAAAACCGTTCTTTCAAAAAATTAAAGAAGAGTATGCTCACAAAATTTTATCCAAACATTCCACCGGAAAGTATTTAAAATGAAAGAGTATATCTTTGAAACCCTAAAATGTTTGCAGGTAGACTACATACTGGGAAACAACCCAAAGAAGATGTCGTACATGGTTGGTTTCGGGGATTCCTACCCAAAGAATCTTCACCACAGAGGTTCATCAATCCCCTCCATCGTGTCGGTTCACCCAGAGAAGATCGGGTGCCAGGACGGATATTACTGGTTGAACTCCGCACAGCCGAACCCGAACGTCCACACCGGAGCAATCGTCGGCGGACCCGACTCTTCCGACAACTTCTTAGACTCCCGGTCGGAATATGCGCACGCCGAACCCACCACATACATGAATGCTGCCTTTGTTGGATCCGTTGCTGCTTTGCAATCAACCTAGCTAGCTAGTATTAAAGAAAATATTGATATTGAATTGATTTCTGATATATTTCAACTTATCATACCCGTAGTGTAGTTAACTAGGACGATGAATACGTAGTATATACTTGGATGGTGTTTATTTATTATATGTTGTGATGGGTTGGGTTGTAATAAACGATACCATTAATTAATAATATTGAAGCATGCATAATTGCATATATAGTGAATAAAGGTAGATTTCTGTCTGGTCTGAATATTTCCAATTTGGACATCGGGAACTTCAATTATTCTTAGTTTAGTCTTTGAAATGGCAAAAGCAAAACAAACTATTCAAAGTCATTCTAAACTAATTTAAAAAAGATTATAACGTAGAAATTAAAGTATGCATGACCTTTCAATTGTCATTCATCATTTGAGGAGAAATAATGTTGGTTCCAATGCTCCATAGAGTTGTTACAAACCTAGGCATTTCCGGGAACTAGCCTCCTTTCTTCGATCGTGAATGCGAACAAGGCTATAGCTTCGGTTCTTTGCTTGTAGGGCTGATAGAAGTGATATATTGCATATTTCTACTTAGAAATAGCAATTTCACTTAGGTGTTTAAGGATACTCTACCAATAGATGGAATGGCAGAGGTGTTTGGTGTTTCCTCCAGTCAAGAATTAGGTCCTCACAACCACCACTAGCCTTTTTTTTTCATGCAATTGTTCCTTCACTATTCTCTATTCTAGTGTCATAGACTCATAGGCGTATGTAGAGGAACCACACCAATTCATCCCGAACTTGTTGAACTCTATTGAGGCGATGATACTGTTAAAAAATGCGTTTCTTTCTAATTTTAATTTCATTGCATAAGCTTATAAAGCCTTATGTTGGTGTTCGTGAATTTAGGGTCGTGTGAATAATGTTTCATACAATATTCACAGTTTGATATCTAAATTTCAAATTCGTTGAGATAATCAATTTTGAGTATCATTTTTGCGGTCATGTATCAAGTATGAGTACATATTCAGTATAATGTTGATTTTTGCACATTTACACACATACACAGTAACACAGGTTACACAGCATCAATATTTCTCTCATTTAACTCGATGTAATGAAGGTAATCTAAAATATCTGCTCATGAAGGTAAATAGAATTGACCCTCATGATTATGTCCTAGTTATTACTAATTGACTCCATTAATTTTATTAATCGAGAAAAGATGAATATACGTGTAAAACTTATTGCTGATTTTGCAGTAGAAATTTTTTAAATTTTAGGAACGCATGACTGGCCTACTATTGTTAATACTAGTTTTATTAAAACGGTAATATTTAAACATCACTTCTATTTTTCATTTTACAACTTTCCACCTCGTCAGAAGCCCATTATTTATTGTATGAAGACAAAATTAAAAGCAATAGCATCTTCTGAAGAAAATAACAGGAACTTTGGATGATCAGGGACAACCGAGTAGAGATCGATCACGGGGCTGGGCTGATGTACTAGAGTTCATCATGGGGTGGTGCAACTTTTGGGTCCCCAGAGGATTTCTTGATGGGGTAGGAAGCCTCCATGGCTATGCCACACAATCCCTCCTCGGAATCGATCCCACGTTGCATCCGAACATAGCCCTCTTCTCCCCAACCAGTTCCCCATGAATTCTTTACTATCCAATATTTTGTTCCGTCCTGCGTTATTCCATAACCAACAACTCCTACCCCGTGGTCTAGCTCGGTGCCACATTGTCCTGTGAACACTCCCTGCAAAAAAATGTTTTAACACTCTAATAAGAGCTCGAACTTGAAAGATGAAACTGTTCTAACACTCTTACTTTCATAAGAAATCCAAATAATATCCAGTAACTTCTAATTTTCCCACTTCTGACTTTTTGAGAGCGTTCTCGAACTACTATTTCTTTCTTTTTAGAAGTTGCAATTGTAAAATAACAACAATCTCTGTTATTTTCTTAAAACTTATCAATTCCAAATGCATCTTACTTGCAGGACGGAGTGAGTCTTATTTACTTTAAATTATTTGAAAAATTATTTACAATGAAGTGTGTTGAGAATGTTCAGTCACAATCTCAGACTATTTCAAGCAATTTAGGGCCATGTAATTCAAACAGGTACAAACAATGATTTGAAAATTGTTGGAAATTGTATGAACTTTAACCATACCTCAGAGTAGAATTGCAAATCAGAACCACTGGCATCTATTGCAACAGATACTGGCTGATTTGCAACAGCTTTCAGCAAAGCATTCTCGTCATTCTCCGGTACGTTTTCGTGGCCATCAATGGTCACAATCGGAGCATTCATCTCCAAAACAAAAAACGACAAAAAAATAAAGTCAAGGAAAATAATACTAATAGCTGGTTGCTTAGAAACGAGAGTATTAAATGACTACCTTTGATGAATCACACTTCTCATCCTTGGCCCTGTAAGGGTATAGTATTTCAGTTGTTATTCCTCCTTTCTTCTTGATAAAATCAAACGCTTTCTCCATAAGTCCTCCATTGCAACCTTCATTGTCCTTTTCACAGTCAACAAGCTCCTGTTCAGACAAAGAAACCAGCTTCCCAGTCTTGATCTTGTTAATTCCTTCAACTCCTAATACAGTTGAAAACGCCCAGCAGCTACCTAGAATAGAATTATTATTTGGAGATAGTTATCATATATCGGATATATAACTAAAGTTTCATTTTTTAGACAAAGGGAGCTAGGAAATTGGCACAGTCACCCCGAAAAAAAATCTCAAAGAGGTGAAGCCTTACAATTGCTTATATACCCTCACCGCCCAAAAAGAAGTCTCCACTTTCTTTATTTGGATGTCCCCAAATGAGGCTCTACTTTCCATTAAAAAAAATCTTTTAATAGGAAATACTAGTATTACAAGTGCTCTTGCTTTTTGTTTACTTTTTTCTTGATTTGACAAAAAGTAAGGATTGCTTCGAAATTCACAACAAAAACTTTATCTTGCATCATAACGCTTAAATATGTTTTTAGTCCTTCAATATTTAGCACTTTTTTAGACCCTGCAAAATAATTGTTTTTGCTTTCTGTCCTTGAAATATACTACGTACTTCATATAAATACATATGTGTGTGTGTGTGTGTGTGTGTGTGTATATATATACTACGTAGTACTTAGTTTTTGTCCCTTTCTAACTCCAAGACAATCTCGACTTAGAAAAACTAATATAGATTACATAACTCTATTCTTAACTTTTAACTTCAGTTTTTATAAATTCTTGGAGACTAAAAAAACTAAAATTAAGTTACAATACTCATTCATGTTCTTAAAATAGGTTTGCGTGGATATCTGAAAATAATTTTTAAGTATTTGTAGAATGACTAGACAAAGAAAGACATAAAATCTATTAGTTTGGTACTTTGGTCTATTTCGTTGTCAAAAAGAGTTGTCAAGGATTCTGAGGAACAAAAAAGAAAAAAAAAAGCATAAGTTTCAGAGATGAAACACAAAACAAAACAAAAAAAAAAGGTGCTATATTTGCAGGGACCAAAACCATATTTAAACCCTTGCATGAATATGTTTAGGTCAAACAGAAATTTATTTGCAGGGCGGGGGTAGTTTTAAATATAAATCTGGTAAACATCCTACGTGTGACACTTAACATATAAACTGGTACATAACTTGAGTTTGTATAAATGAGAAAACCAATCCCAAACACCCTCAACTGAGGGTGCAATCACAAAAGGAAACTACCCAGACAGGTTTCAACCATAATATGTTGGTCGTATTTACCCCACTATGATCCTCAAGATGTGGGCTTCAACTCAACTTATACTATCGTATATTAGATGCATATTTGGACGCTTAACAGAAACTTACCACATTTGCCTTGATTTTTTATAGGCGTCACAGCCCCTTTCTTTCTCCAATCAACAGAAGTGGGAAGGTTCTCAACGTGTGCATACATAAATCCAGTTTTGCCTCTAGGACCATGGAACATCCTATGATGTTTTACTTTAGAACTGTAAGCACTCCTGAACTCATGGTTTGTCAAATCAGCGAAACCATTCAGTTTCAGCTTATAAGGCCTGTTCATTTTGTTGACTTTTTGGATGTGCCTCACATTTGCTTGGAAGACATTGAAGCGTCTCTGTTTCTCATCCAAGTCTCTAGAAACAGTGTGATGGCTCCTCCATCTCTCATATAGCTCCCACAGGCTCTCTTCAGAAGCCAGGTCCTCTTCCGTGAACTCGATGCTCTTAGCTACCACAAACACCATGGAGAGTGTGACTAAAGCCACCAATAAAATCTTCCCCAACTCCATACCTACAAAATCAAGATACAAAGAGACACTGAGAAAACATGGGTATCATGCGTTCTTAAATAGTGTGTGTCTAATAGAAATAATTTTCTTGCTTTATTTGGAGTTTGTCATTATGACACTTCCAACAGAAACTGTCTTTATTTTAAGAGGTGAGGTTTATTACGTAACCTTCAATCGGTTTGTTGAAGCTTGAGAGGTGAAAATATTGGAAGCTGTTACACGGTGTCTTGAATATTTGAGAACCTGATTATTTTGGGCTTATCGGTAGTACTATATTTAGTAAAGAGATTAGATGGGATTACTCAAACGCTCACGCAAAATGAACGCCATTTGTCTTTTACCTTTGTATCAGATACATGCTACAAGCCTATGAGGCTATGAGCGGTTAAATTTCTATAAATAGCACAACCGCAAACCATAAATGCACAACAAGTGACCATGAAGATAAGAATGTTGCGCAATATTAGTTAGAATAGTTCAAACTTACATCAGCAATAAAGAATGATAAATGGTGTCACTTGTGTTTCTTTTATCTCTGCTCTAAAGCTTTCAGAGACCTGAGTTCCAAAGACAAAAAACCTATCCTTTGGAGGCCAAAAGCTTATATCTTTCATAAATAAAAAAGGTTATAGGAAATTGTTACAGATGCATTTTTATGGAACCAGCGGGAAGTTTAATTAGAAGAGTTTAATTAGAAGAGGGAATTATCCTGATGCTATTTTTATATTTTATTTATTACTTCCTATAAGGAATAGAAGTATTAGAGTTTACAGTTACTGTTAGATTAGAACTCCTATTAGGAATATAAGTATTAGATGTTATAGTTTCTGTTAGATTAGAACTCTATTCTGTTAGATGTTAATAAAACTATCGATCGTTAGAAGAATTAATCCCAGAGAGAAGTCACGGACTTCCCCCCTCCCCCTGCGCGCTTACAGCGCTCTTCCAGCCACGGGCAAGAAGAGGCGTAACCCTAGCAGGCAGGTTACCACCTCACCCGGGTACCCTGCTACCCCAAGTCGCCCCGGGACCCGTTCTCAGTCCCAGAACCCTAACAGAAATCTCACAAAATACTATAAATAACAACCACAGAAATAGCAATAAAGAAGAAATGCATATGTGAATGAACAAGGTTTTGCAAGAGAACTTTTCAAAATCCAAATACAATAAAAGGCAATTGTGGATAGCAAGATACGTAGATGTCCAAGCAACATGGCTAGACTTTGGTGATTACAATCATAAGCATTAGCTTGATTTATGAAAAGCATGTTCGAGTCTTGAATACATTACGGTTCACATCGACATTCAGAGAAAAAAAATAAACATAGAGCACTGGCTACATTGCAGCTCAAGTGACTCAAGGAAGTGACTCTCGCATCTTGTTTTCTTTGATAAGCTCTTCTCTCATTTTCCTGATCTGTGCTTCCATCTCCATTTTCTCCTTCTGCAGTGGGCCAAAATCAATTTTCATTATGAAACACACATATTTTACTTCTTCATAACGTATTAGCTTGGTGATTATGCCCACCCACCCACACACCGAATCACACACACTCAAAGAGGCATCAACAAGGCATCCTTGAAAAGAAGAATCCAGAATTTGCAATAAATTCCTAAAGCAAACAAAACACAGTCTTTTTATACAGGAAGGTAAGTGAGGGTTTGTTTGGATGGAGGTTCTAGTGGATTGGAGGAGAGTGTTTTGGAGGGATTAGTCTATTTCTTGATAAAAAAAAAGGATGTTTCTATGAATAAATAGAGTGATTGAATTGCCGTTTAACCACTAAAGTTTTATTCCTGTAATTTTCATTAACTCTCAAATATATGTGAAGAATTCAATATACACTTATCTCTTCAGAACCCTCTGCTCCAAAAACCAACTCCCAAACTAAGCCAAAAGAAACCACTTATATTTAAAAATCTCCTTTTTATCCAATTCAAAGCACCATTTAGAAAGGAAAAAAGGAACACAATTACAGAATGCCAATTAAACGAGTCTTCTATCATTCACATGACAAAGCAGAGTTCAAATTCAGCATCCCCATGGTCACTTTTAAGTTTAGCTTTTATTTCTTTCTAAACAATGAGTACCTAAAAGGCATGCGAATTAGCGTAAGATCAAGATCACATTTTCAAAGGTAGAAGTTGGTTTACAAAGTACAGAACCCTTTTATCCCCTGTCCATCTCCGAACCTCCCACATTCACGAATGCAAATCATACGACAAAACAGAAATCCATAACCTAAACTGTAATTGACAGTCAGTAGCACGTACGATAAGGTTATGGGCTTTCAGGCAGAAATAATAAAAAATATAAATTGCTTCGTATTTCGAGAAAACTCAATCCCATATCTGGGTGGTAGCTATCATCGTTTCAGATCGATAATTCGTAAGTATGAGAGCATGAGGGATCCGAAGTTAGGGTTAGTGGTACCTTCTCATCTTGACGAAGAGCGATCCAGACATGGAGTTTATCCATAGACTGCCAAAATACGAAGGCGCCCAGTGACATAGCAAAAAACGTGGCAACTTTCACCATTTTTAGTCGCACTTCTCAGGTCTGGCTTGCCTGGATTCTTTGTTAAAATCTGAATTTTATTATAAGCCGCGCGTGGATTGCCGAATGGGGGGGAGAAAGATGACTCCGTGGTAATAAAAGTTCGTAGGATGTGAGAGCAAACACAAGTATGGAGTCTGGACTACCGAGTAGAAAGGGTTAACAAAACGTAATGGGGTATGGTAAAGTTTCTGAGCCGGTTCGAGGGTCGAAGGTCGATGACGGAAAGTCTTTTTTATCTCTTTTGTCTCTTACTAATATTTTATTATCAATATAAACCTCCTTATAAAAAATTTTATTTTAAGCAAAAAATCAGAAAAATGCTTTTGAAAAGCAATGGAAAACACATGAGTTTTTTTTCGAATTAATGTTAATTAATTAATTAATTACGAAAATAATGCTGGGAAAAAAATATATACCGATCTACTGTTGGGTTTAACCATGGTCAGGGGTAAGTCGCTCAACCGTTGGGCGACTTACCCCTTGTATATGATCAAAGGCCAGCAGCTACTGCCAGCCACGCACGATCGTGCGTCCCAGGGTATGCACGACCGTGCCTAAGTCCAAAAACAGGATTTCAGCATGTTTTTCAGGATTTCAGCATGTTTTTTGCCCTACTTCAACCCACACTCATCTGTTTGTTATAAATAAGGTCTCTCTTCTCTTGTTTAAGTGTTACGAGCCAGATACAACACATTATAAAACATACAACACATGTCTTCACAAACACATACATAACACCTACTCTCAACAATATACAAAACACCTTGTAAATACCCTTTACAAATCAAATACAAAACCTTACATTCATAATCGGTAAAACACAGTAAAATCATCCAATATTCAGAACAAGTAATCATCTAATATTCATACTCGAACACATCAAGACCACATACAAGAGTTTACAAGAGAAAATACGTAAAATGTTGTAAATTGTTCCTACAACATCTACTGTACAAGAAAAACTACAATGCAAAAGACAACCTACAAGTTCACATGATCATCTTGGTCATGGAGATAATGTTGCTGATGTCTACGCCTACGCCGTTGTCGTGGTTAAAGAACCACTCTCTCATGCTGCGTCTGGGATGATGAAGCCGTCGCTGCACTAGACGTCGATGGCATCTCTTGAGATGGGGCATGTGTATAAGATGGCCGTAGTCGACTCGGCCCAACACATCTGAACACAAGGAGGCAATGCCTGTCAGAGCCTGTCCATACATGTCCACATCATGAGTATCACTCACTGTGGCAGTAGCCCGCTGATGTATGCGCTGCAAAGCTCATGTCTGAAATATGAAACACAATTACAATTACATTGAAATGCATACAAGTATTAAATAAATAAAATGACTTACTTTACTAATTAATAATATACTCACCGTAAGATGCAAAGCCAAGGAGCTAGGCTGATAATGATGAGTAGGGAGTCTGAACGAAGGAGACACAAACAAACGAGTGATGCTGTAATACCATCCCATGTAGTCTCCTGAAACAGATGGGACAAATGTCGGTGTCCCAGTCACAACTAGCTCAGCTCGCCTTTCCCACATGGTGACGTATCGGACGTGTCTTAGTGCCCAATCCTCCGTATGCTTCCCACGCCTATCCAGCCTATGTAGCTCTACATAAGTGTCGATAGGACGTGGAATGACCTGCTCAAACCCAAACTGTCGCAAGACTCTATCAGGCAAATGAAGCTCAACAATGTCAAAACAAATCAACGGCACACGTGCTCGCCATATGTGACTATGCTCTCGTCCAGCTGGGGGCAACTCTACAAACATCTCGGCTGTATACGGCATCCATGTAATCTATTTCATAAAGATACAAAATTAGTATTTATGCTATACATATTATAGTTAATGTTATATTACCCACACCATACCTGATTCTCAGACATCCGATCA